AACAAACCAAAACCCAAAAATGTCTTACTGTATTTGGCAATACGGTATGATGCCCTTGAGGCAAAGCAACCAATGCAACCTCACTGTTTCTTACCTATAGAATGGAAAGCTACTACAACTGTTTGGCCCACATTCTCAAGTATACATGTGAAAAACAGAAACTGGTAGGCTGGGGATATAGCCCAGCGGCACAAGCACCTGCCTGGCAAGTGCATGGTCCTGAGTTCGATTCCCAGTTAAAAAAAACCAAACTGGTACTGGCAAGTTAGATTTCCTTGGTCACTGCTCCTTTGCATGAGAGTTCATTTACCTCTGTCCCTTGAATGTGCATGGTTTTGCAGTTTCTTATTATAATATTCTGAAGCAAGAGGACCAATGCAGTCTCATTATTTCTTATGTATAAAATGGAAAGAGCTACAATTGTTTAGCCCACTGGACTACTGTGGAGCATGACATGAATTTATCGTGTTTTCCTGGGATTCAAATATGGTTTGCATTGAACGCAGGTACTGTTTTCAAAATTTTGTTATTCTCTACATGTGTATATAAATCATACATTTATACATGTTTTACATACATATATAGGATATACACATGAATTATGTGTTTTTAAAAAAATTTTTTTTTTTTTTTGGTGTTTGAGACAGGGTCTCACTATGCAGTTCAGGGTGGTCTTGAACTCACTTTATAGCCCAGGCTGGCCTTGAACTCAAAAGGATCCTCCTGCCTCAGCCTCTCAAGTACTGGGATTACGCACATGCGCCATCACGCCCAGCATATATTATGTACTTTATACACTTACAAAAATACAATCCCTTGCTGCGGATCGGCCATTCTGGAGGTATCCAAGCGAGCTGCTGGACTGCTCAATGCATGCGCTCTCTGCTGAGTACAGCATATGAAAATTTGGGTTGGATTCACCCAGGCATCTGACTAACACTCTAAAGGTTCTGCTGTATGCTGGGTGGTTGTTGGCTGCTACTGAACTGCATGCACTTGAGATACAGTTTAAATGTAGATTCTTAAAGCTAAAGGACCTCCTGGAGAAAACTGGCGTTAAACTCTGTTTACAAAGGCAGGTGTGAACTCTCAGGGAAGTTCAGGACTTGTCCCACTCACTCAGCGGGTGAAGGAGTCAAGCTCTGACATTTTGTTTGCATGCCACAGTGCAGACAGGAGTGCGTCTGTACCACATGCAGGGTCAGCAAGAGGAGACATGGGGGCTCCGCTTTCTTCACATCAAGTAATTCTAGAATGCATGAATTATAAACAAAAGGTAAACTATCAGAGAAGACACTACATATCAAATATTTTTAAAAGGTAGACTTTTAACATGTAATTGCCTATTTTATATTGGAACTTGCTACATACAATTTGGGGGCGACAGGGTCTCACTATGTAGCCCACTCACAGCAATCCTCTTACCTCAGCATCTGAGTACCTGGATTATAGGCATGCACCACACCCAGTTTTACATACAATTTATGACCAAGATGTTATGATGAACTCTTCAATGTAAAAAAAGTATTGAGGATCAAGTTTGTGTGTATAAAATTATCAATTCTTTATTTTGTGGTACTGGAGATTGAACCCAGGACCTTGTGAATGCTGTACCACTGAACTACTCCCCTAGCCCGAGTGATTTAAAGCAGCATTTTACAACCACTTAAGAATTTACAGAAGCGTGTATTTTGAAGATGAATAGCTTTTTATTATTATACTAAAGATCCAATCAAATTTTTAATAAGTATTTCACAATAATAATGCCTTCCTTTACAGAAAGCACATACATTGTAAAGTCAAGGCCACTAGCTCAGATGCCCACAAATTGGCCTGTCAGCTATACAAGTTCTCACTGCTGCCTGCAAGTGCGTCCACCAGGAGCCCACGCTGGATCTGCACCTCCCACCCAGCCAGGGTGGCACTTGTGAGCCGGGCTCCATAGTATCTGGAACATACACTCCTCCAGCTACACCACAGCCTCATGTTCACGGACAGTGATGAGGTCTGCAGCAAGCCAGGTGCTAGGACACCTGCTTGGCCCCACTCCGCCTTTCCAGGGAGAAGCAGCTGCACGCTGTTGTTGCCATCAGTGAGGACCAGGGTCACCGAGACAGTTTTGGTCCTGGTATTAACAGTATGGAGAGGGGAGCTGAATGGCGAGGTATTTTTACGCGGATTTCAGACAGCCAAAACTTCGTTGGCACAGGACCCTTCTGGTCTGCAGGGCAGGTGATCTATACCAACTTGCTTCACGCTTTGAATGCCATCCCCAACCCTAGCCTGTTGACACCCTGAGGAGATAGTCTACCCCATGCTGTTCAAGCCTCCCCTCAGATGAGCCAGTTGCTACAGGAGGCAGCCAGCCCAGGCCTTGCATGCTCAGGACCCTGCCTGGCTGCCCCAACGGCTGAGGGATAAGTATTTCAAGGCACACCCACGGCCCAGGTGCAGCGTGCTGCCAAGAACTGTGAAGGGTCTGCGATCTCACCCTGTCCGCAAGCTAATTCGCTGGCCTTCATGGATGCTGGTAGACTCTTGGGTCAGAGGCAAGGGTTTTGTGACTGTGGGCACCCCAGGCAATATGAATTTCAAGTTCACATTGTTCCATTTGCCCACCAAGTCCCCCCCAAGGTTACATTGAACAGGATGGTGCCCAGTATGATCTATGTCGTAGCTAAGGAATGCTAAGCTTAGGAAACACCCACACATACAGGAGATGCTCTGCTGGCCTGCAAGTGAAGGGGGAAATGAAAAATTTTAAATGAAAGCCTGCCCAGGATGCCCACCAAGACCAAGTAGACATGTCTGGCAGGCAATAACAGAACACTCCTTTGTGTAAACCCCGTCTTTATTCCCTGTGTGTAACTGATGGCCTTGCAGGTAACTTCAAATATAACAGGACGCTTCTTCCTTTGTGTAACTCAAGGCCTTGCAATGTAATGAAATGGTTAAAATCCTTTAGCAACCCATGACGTCACCCAACCCTCCAAACATAATGTGCCAAATCTGCCTTTGAACCTTCTCTCTTGCCCTCCCTATGAAAGTCCCCAAACCCCGCCTGGTGGGGCTGACTCTGGTGAGATCACAGTCAAGCCCACCGGTGTAATAAACTGTCTCCTAAACCTTCTCGGTGCTGTTTCTTCTCATGTTTGGTCTGTTTTCTGTAACACAAGGAGACAATTAACTTTAGTCAGGGAACATCTGACTGGCCAAGCATCTTGAGATGATAGTATGGGATAAAGGAGTCACAAGATATGTAGAAACACTATGACACATTGCTCAATACACACCAATCTCCTAGTGGCACCTGGCTTGCAAACCTGGTTTCTCAATATAAAAGGGAGTGCCCTGGGGAAAAAGAAAGAACTGATTCTAGGCAAGCTGACAACTGTACACAAACCAGCCACCAGCCTCCTTGTGTTACGGCCCGAGGACGAGTCACACCTCAGGGTTGTCAACAGGGCCAGTGTGCAGCAACAGGGTGGCCTGAGGCCTGCGGGCCTTGTTCGCCATATACACTGCTGAACGAAAACTACCCTCCTATCCTGAAATTAAGTGATAACTGCCTCAGCTTTTCCACTTAGCAACTTAGGAAGATTTTAGACCTGTTTATATTTTTAATGGGGTGCCAAGTGATAGCTAAAAAAGACAAGTTCTTTGACTACATATAAGCTGAACACAATTTAAACTTGGAGTGAAAGAAAAAAAAAAGGAACTTATTGAATGAACACACTGTCATCAGTTACTGACCCCCAAAGTTTCCAATCACTATGGAAACAATTTACAGAGAACAACAGGTGGAGGTGCCGAAGTTACAGCATGTGCAGGATGACGTCCTGCGATACTTAAGCTCAAGCTGCGGGGGGCTCCCGTGGCAGAACTACTTGCTGTCCTATTTATAAAGTCATGAAGGAGAGTGTCATGATAAAAGCACAGTGACAGACCTGACTCAAGTCCCAGCTCGTATCACTGAGGTTAATGCAACTCCAAGCAAATCTTACTTTAACCACTGGCAAATGGGATTTCAAGCATAACTGAAATTTGCTGAGAAAAGTAAGCTAATGCATATAATGTTACACCTATCACAAAGCCTGGTAAATGATGAGTTCTGGGTAAACAGCAGCTATTACTAAGATAAATTATCTGGAACCACATGTGTGAAGGAATACAGGTATGATTCACTCTTTATTTAAAATCATATTCCTAGGCAGGCAAGTTAGAGCCCATGGTGTGGATCCAACCTATACTTTAATTCTGCTCAGTATTTATAAAATATAGTCTCAATAATGCCCATGGCTACTAAGTTTTGTCCTCTGAAAATAAAATAGTAATGACTACTATTCTGGGGAGCCAGGGTTAGCATTTTGGTTAAGATCTTCCATAGTCATCTCTTTATATGCTAGATCTCTGTTTAGTTATGCATAAGTACCTGGATCAAGCGTTACATAAATACTGTACACACTATTTTAAAAACTGCTTTACTACTAAATACTACCTAAAAATTTAATGTCAATTATTTCCTCCAAACTATTTGATTTAGTCCTGAAGAACCAGTCTGAACCAATCAGTACCCACCTCTTTATTCTCATACACATCAAAGGTCACTATTAAAAAAATGCATGAAGTTACCTCACTTCATTCTATAACAGGATCAAAACCTGAAATTTTTCGCATTAATCTAACCCTATTTTAATAGGAACCCTTTTGTAATTCTTCTTGCTTTTCTAAACTAATGCTGGAGTTGCTATTATTGTGTGGAAGCACCTGCTCTCTCTCTAGGGGAAAAGCTGCCCTAGGACACTTGCAAATTGGGCTGACGCTACTGGATTAAGAGCTGGTAAGTATTAGTCATGTGAAATTGTGAATGTTTAGTCATACACTTAATAACCCATTACATAACACTTGTTATTTCCTTCAGATACTCTGTTCAGCTTGTATTTCTTGATAATAACCCCTTACCCTCAGCCTGACATGTACATATACACCGAGTCATCGCGCTAAGTGCTGACAGACATGTTTATTGCACGTCATGATACAACTGAGACGACACAAAATGAAGTGGACACGGTCTTGCACAAATGCCATGTGTCAGTTAATTGTGAAAGATGAACAAATTCTGTTAGTGTTTTTATAAATACTGATTTCTGAAAAATATTTTTAATAATTGTACTAAAAGTTTTTAAAAAATACATGTTGATCAGAAAGACAAACTAAAAACCTATGTATTAAATCAGTGATACTTGTGAAAATTTAAATTCACTGCTTTACGTACTATTTCCTATTTTCAAGTTTTGAAGTTCATTTACCAGCTCACAGAGTCGGGCTCAGTTTTGGTTGTTTTGTTTGGTACTGGGGGCTGAACCCAGGGCCTTTGTGACACAGAGTCTTGCTGAGTCATGAAGTTGTCAGGCTGGGCTCAAACTTGATTCTCTTGCCTCAGACCCCAAGAGTGTTGGCATTGTAGGCATGTGCCCCCATGCCCAGCTTGGACTCAGGTTTTTTAATTTTGCAACTTCCTGGGTTATTGGGCGGTAGAATAACTGCAGAAAAGGAAGTGGTTCAATTCTTTCTATAAAAAACTGCCTTGGCTATTAATTATTTCATGAACCCCCAAAACTAATCTTTACAGTCAAAGATGCATTTACTGCCCATTATGGAAGTACTAAATGTCTGTCTCATCTTCCCAGTCAAATGGAGTGAAATTATACTGCTGTCAATAACAGCAATGCAATAATATACTGATTTTCTTAGTAGCTGGAAGAAAAATTGTACTACCCAGAAAAATATACAACTATGTTGATAAATGTGAAAAACTGAATAATGTGGACTATTTACTTTTACATTAGCCACATGGGGTTACTAGTTTAAATAAATGCCTATACAGAGTCTTGATTTGAAATTCCATGGAGGTGGTTTAATTGCTCATCCCTATCTCCAAATGTCAAAGTGAAATGAATCTCAGCAAATTCTAGAAGACTGTTTTACTTCACTTAAAGAAGTAACCTGTAAATAAGAAGAAGCAATTGTTATAGCAAAAACAGTCTGCTAATTGTAAATACACTGAGAAAGGCAAGCTCATGACTTAGAACCAGCTTAGAGTCTTTAGCCTTCAGAGAAAATTCAGACAGCTGCGCTGGTCAGCCACGCCGGATGGGATGCCAACACGTCTTGGCATATTCCACAGGCCCATGTGTGCTCACCAGCCCATACAAGGGTCGGGGCAGTCCCGAAGGTAAGCCTCAAAGTGATGGTCTGTAACATCCATCAAGGTTGTAAATACAGTTAGCTGAAAGAAAAGTTACTTTTACTTCAAGGATGTTTTACATTTGAAGATGTTCAGGCACATTAGCATATCTGTCCCTGAAAAATCTGCTGTATGAAATTATTTAATATTAAACAATATATTAAAATTATATAACAGAGTATATTATATAATAATACTAAACAAAGCAATCAACATCAATAAAAAACATTATTGCAGGTTATGCACATTAACAGGTTAAGCAAAATCTCTAGCTGTTTACAAGTACTTATTTCTTTTTTTTTCCCTCCGGTACCGGGAACCAAACTCACGACCTTGCGCTTGCCAGGCAGGAGCTTTGCCGTTGAGCTAAATCCCCAGCCCCTACAAGTACTTATTTCTGAGCAGTACATTGCTTTACCACTAAAGCTTTAAGATTCACTTAACCCCCTTCCGTGTATGTGTAACAGTCACACAAAGCCTAACAATACACTAGGGCCATGGTGTAATCAGGTTTAATTGTATTTTTTGTTGTTGTTGCTTTTGGGTTTTTTTTGGTTTTTTTTTAGTACCAGGAATCGAACTCACGACCTTGTGCTTGCTAGGCAGGTGCTGTGCCACTGAGCTAAATCCCCAGCCCTAATCAGGTTTAACTGTAGTGTTAGCATGCTGCAACAAATAAGTGAGTTTTGGGTTGCAGTTTGGGCACTCGGTCTCTAAACCATCTGTCTTTGGCTAATCTTATTCTCAAAGCATTTCAGATACAGAGGGGAAACTGCAGGCACACAGATTACAAAGCACACATACAAACTGACAATGGAGGGGCACACAGACCATGTAAATCACCCCACTGCGAGCTTATAAGCTGGTATGGGCAAAACAAGCAGTATGGTGGGGTCAAGGAGCTGAAGGAAAGCGTCCTCATGCAGGGGTCAGGTTTGATTTAAATATGTAGAGGCATTTTTTTCTGGCAGAGGCAATGGAGGTATGTTTTTTTCTGGCAGATACATGTTTAATTTAGGGAGACAGAAGCACAGGGACCAAGAAAAAGAGTAGATGGAACACATGGGATAGCAGGGGAGTATAGACAGAACACACAAGGAATGACTATTAGAAACAGGATGACTGGGGAACTTTTCACATTTCTCAAATATAGCGTGGGGAAAGGATTTTTTAGAATGTTATAAAGTTCAGGGGAACCTTGATCCGCCAAGACAGAGCTCTGTCTGACTTTGTGCAGTACAGTTTGAGGTTACTGCCAGGCAGAGAGAAGTCAGGAATGTGATGCTAGAATTAATTCAAGTGCCATGTACAAAAGAAACAATACCAATCTGGATATGAAGCCACACTGATCAACAAGTTTACTGTATTCTAAAGTTATGACTTGAGCCACACAAAAATACTTTGAAAAATTACCCTTAAACTGCATGTAACTTTATGCTTAAACTGATCTAAGACAACAAGGGAAAATAAAACACAGGACCAAATTCTTTCCAGAAAGGCATATATATATAATATATATTTTTAAATACCTTGTTGAGGACAGGTTTTGTTGATAGAATATCATATAAGGTTGCAAATGAGAGATTCTAAAAACACAAAAGAGTTCTGTTCAGTATGTTAAACACAGATTTATCCACACATATGGCTCATTAGAAACAAAAACATTCTTCAATCAACCTGCCTAAGGAACTTCCCATGGAGTCACTGCTAGAAATAGATAAAATAGTTTTAATATATTCTTCTTCTTTCTCTCTTCTTTCCCCTTTTAAACTCTTACCTGTTTGTTATTTAACTTCACAGAACAGTATCCAGCACTGAGTAAGAAAACAAAGTACAGCAAAATTTTGTCTTTTAAGTTAAAACAAAAACTCAGTGAGCACTGTCTACAGACACTGAATAATGTAAGATTTATAAATTTTTTTGAAGGCCAAAGAAAAATGCCAGAACTAAGATAATCCCCAATGGGATTATCCTTAGTGGGATTATAGTTTCTTTCTATATAAGACAAACAAATGTACCTCTTGGGTTGTGCGTCTTAGACACATCTGTGCAGGTGTTCTGCGATCATCAAGGAATAAGGGTTTTCTCCATCGGTCGTAATTTGTTTGTACCACGTACCATCTACCCTGCTTAGGATTAAGTCTAGATACAAAAAGAAAAACTCCCTCTTAGGCTTCATGCCTCAAACCTGTACATATGTCAGTCTGGGCTTTAGTTTCCACTTGCTTTGCTTTAAAAGTGTACTTACTCGTATACATCCAAGGAGTCTTTTCTTTCTCGTGTAATCACACACCCCTCCCCAGACTGGTTACCTCCCAGAATAAAGTACGCTGGGGCCAACAATTTGGTCTTGGCCAATATATTCTTGGCTTCTTCATAGCTACACAGAAACATTAAAAAAAATTTTTTTGTTGAGTTGGAATGGAAATATTTTCGTACTGTGAAAAATAAGGGAAAATACTGTGACATGCTTTTTAATACAAGACGGTGCAATGGTTACCAGAGTAACAACAGCCTTCCCCTCTGAGGTGGGGAAACATTTCAGACTTGAACTGGCAATTTTAGAAGCTCCCTCTCAGCCAAAGGAGAACACAACAACTGGCAGAGATTAGCCTCCACCCTACTGTCTATGTCTTTCATTCAACAACAGAAGGGGAAAGACTATTATAGTTATAGAACATAGAACTTAAGAGAACAGAAAGTAACCTTCATGACATGGGCTTTTACCTACTGGAATGGGTTATTAAAGAAGACTACTAATTTCTTCCTTGGAAAGCATGGGCATCAGGCTCACTGATCCGGAGTCATTTGGATGCGGTGCGCGCTGAAGAAAACGCAGTTCTGAGATTTCTGCACCATAGGAGAATTGACTTCTAGGCTAATATTAGAAGATTTTACCATAATATTGTATGTGTGCATGAGTTTTCTTTTGTATGCCAAAGTATTCATAGGTGCCCTTCATAGCATCAACACCCCTGGTATTTTTCATAATTCATTTCCTTGCTATAAGAACATACAAAATATGAGTAATTACACTGGGCATGGTAGCACATGCCTGTAATTCAGCACTTAGGCTGAGGTAGGAGCAACGCTACAAGTTTAGGGCCACCCTAGGCTACATAGTGAGTTCAAGACCAACCTGAGCTACATATGAGACCCTGTCTCATACATAAAAAAATCCCCTCCCCAAAAACTAAAATAAAGAAAATATGAATAATTCCGTATGAGTGTCAAAAGGTTCACCCAAAACATTCTGTAACTGTTCTTCGATGGATGTTAAGCTGGGACTTGGCAAATGTGTTCTTATTTTAATATAAGTAATTTAAACTAAATATTTGATAAAAAAGCAACTTATCACTTCACCTTGTACTGTTTTCCAGAACTGATCTAGTGATAAACCCTATCCATGTGGCATCTTTCTTTCCCAAAATCCATTCTAGGAGACCTGGAAGAGATTAAACACATACAGCACTACCGTATCAATCAGAAAGTATCATTCAATCCTGTGAAATTCCCATTGTACTTTTGAATACTACTTACCCAGATAACCACCATTCATGCTGAAACGTTCATTCAGTGTAAGACTAAACTTTCCCTTAAAAAAAAAAAAAAAAAATCATTGAGGTCAGACACTTCAACTACCTTTTGAAGGCCCCATCTCTACATTATAATGGTATACAAAGGCCCGTATTAAGAACACAGAGAAGTTAAAAAACATGACAGTACCACTTTTTTTTTCTTTTTTGAGCAGTTCGGGGTGGCCTTGAACTTAGTGATCCTCCTGCCTCAGCTTCCTGAGTGCTGGGACAACAGGAGTGTACCACCACACCTGGCAATCACTTTACATAAACAAGGCTTTTTTCTTTTTTCAGTTCAAAGCATTTTCACATCTAGTATGTGATGAAGCTGGCAAGAAACATTATTGGCCATGTGTTTTGGACAGGAAACGGAAGAGCACAGCAGAGAATTCATGCCTGATTAGTCTGAGTGAGCGGCAGACCTAGGCCAGGTTCGGCTCGCAGTCCTGAAACCTGAAGCCACACGTTTTTTTTTATCTTGTAACACTCTCAGAAATCATTTCCTTTTTATTCTCTGCCATATGTGAGCTCATACAAATAAAAATGACAAGAAGTAAAAGGAGATGGAAGCAGGATTTAATAATCCTTTCTGGTCCTCATTTTCTTAAGAGTCTACCCTTCACAGATAGTGAAACCGGGACACAACTCTACCTGTACAATTAGGTAACAACAGGTTCCTTACTGGTTTGAATCCTGTTAACATGCCCACATAGCCAGCAAAGCTTGTAGCCTTGAAGACAGTTTTATTGTTTCTTTGGAAGTCCAGATTCACTGACAAAGGTTTGAGTTGCTCAGTTATGACCCAGGTATTATTATTTATGTTCCACCTACAAAAGACAAATTATGATGATATTTAAGAACAATGATGAAAATAATGATGAGCCAGGCATTACAGTACACACTTTACCTACCTACTCACTAATGATCAGGCTTACAAGACCTTTTTAATAAGGTTTCATCCCCTTCACCAGCTCATGGAACTGAGGCTCGGACTGGAAATGAGTTAGCTCTCCTAGTATCACACAGATTATACAACCAATGACCCCACATTTAAATTTAGACCGAATTACAAAACCCTCAACCTCCCAGAGAGCTGAAAAGTATACCATCTTGTCCCACCACTAAGTAATCCAACAAACTTCACCGACTGTCCTATTTTGGGCATGACTTGGGACTTTTCATCACGGTAAGTCTAATTTTTGTATGGAATAACATATAGTATGTTCCTTGCTTACCCAAGAAATATTCCAAAATCCATGTTTCTAACATGTAGTAGATGACCTATTAGAAAGTAAGCAGAAGAGTCATGTGGTAGCAGTTAAGATAGTACATCTGGTTCTAAATCAGAGCTGCATGCTTTATTTTCGTTAACTTACATTCACAATTATATTTCACAACAAAAGATAAGGGTTAAGAAGGAACCCTTCTTAATATAAGCCTTAAAAGATCAAACTTGTGTTACTGTCACATTGGCAAGATACCCACCACAAAATCTAAAGTATAGGGTTCTAGGTTAGATCAGAATATGGAGAAAATGTGAATGGGCATTCTTTCGTCAACTATGACATAGATATCCTAGCCCCATGACTTACCCAAGGCACCTCAAGAGTTAGGTGTAGGCTGATTTTGTGCCCAGACTGTAAGTCGAAAGTCAGAGTGAATCAGGACAAACTGTTTTCTGCTATGTACTGTGGGGACCAGCTATGAAAAATGTAGGAAAGTGAGGCTACTATACATTAGGGTTCCTTGGCTGGGAAATGATGGGAAAATATTTTTCCTGGACCTCCAGAAAACCTCTTCATGATTAAGATAATGAAGTACCTCGTATGAAGACTCCTATCACATCACACAGATGGGTATAAGATAACTATAAGGAAAGGTGGACTACTTTTAATCTTGAAATACTTTTTCCGTTTTTCTTTCTTTGCATGCCTGAATTAAACTTTAGTAGGTGTTACAGCGGTCTTAAAAGCAAGGCTAGTTTTACTCTGGGAGGCTGAAGTAGAAGATTTCCATTTCCAGCCTAGACTAGATAACTTAGCAACTTGGCAAGACACTGTCTTAGATAAAGAATAGAAAAGGGGGCTGGGGATTTAGCTCAGCAGCAAAGCGCCTGCCTGGCAAGTGCAAGATCGTGAGTTCAATTCCTGGTACTGGAAGAAAAACAAAAACAGAACAAACAAACAAAAAAAAGGTCAGGGATATATAGCTCAATGGGAAGGCACTCAATTCAATCCCCAGCACCAAAAACAGTAATAACAATAATAATAAAAATAAACAAATAAAAAGAAAATAAGGCTAATTTTCAAAGCGCTTAGAAAAATCTAACAAGATACATAAAGTTGTATGTAACATACACAGAATTTACACAGCCAGCCTGGATTTACAAAGTTCTAATGCCACTTTTTAGAAGATCTTTCTTTCACACAGTGCTCTGCACTGCCCATTCTTCCCTCAGCACATTTACCTTTCTGGTCTTCAGTTATTATTGAGGTGCACATGGTAAACAATTCATAAAAGATGTTGAATGAAATAATCTCTCCTATAAGAAAATATAAGAAAAATTTTTGTTAACGCACAGAACCATGACAGTACATAAAAAAGTTCCTTTGGTTTCATTGCTGCTTTGGACTGAACTCAGATGTGCCATACTAACGATGCACTATTTACCACACGGCTACAAACCCCTGCCCATATTTTAAGCAAACAAATCTTCACTGTAGGGATGTGTGTGTGTGTGCGTGCGCATGCACGCATGTGTGCGCATGCTGGTATATAACATTGCCTCAGGACAATCTGAGTGTGCCAGGAAACATGGCTATGGTAGTGTCCCTTACCTACCTGGACCCTCTAGACTGAGGACAAAACAAGTCTTCAAAAAGGCAGCTATAGTATCTGACGAGCTGGAATTGTATTTTAACACACTGTCTGAAGTTTTCACCAGCATCTTTCAATTTAGATCTCTAGGGCGCTCATATACTGTAACTTAATATGTCTAACTCTTTCTGTACGCTGAAAATGGATTCTGCCGATTTTCAGATTGTGACTAACATTGCTAAGGTGAGAAATGAGAGCTAAGAACTAGTAATAAAATTGGTTCAGAGCTTCCAAGAAAATCCACTGTAGAGTAGTTTTTATTTTTGAGCATTTTTTTCCAAAGCTATATAATATCATTTAGCAATTAATCCAAAGGTATAGAAGCACATGTTGTCTGTCCCATTTAATGTGAACACGTTAAGCTTAATGTGTTTTCCATACCAATCCAATGTTTATTTTTATTTAATGTCTACTTTGATGAAACTTTACTCTTATTATGAATCTTCTATTAATCAATTTTTCTCTAAAAATAACTACATTTGGTAATGACTTACTAGGATTCTTTCCACAATAAAGGAATAAAGACTTGTTTCACATATAGATTGCAAATTTATATTTCCAGTACATTGACTATCTTTTAAATGTTAAAGCAACAATAAACAAGCCACCTTTGTTGCTAAATATCAAATATTCCCAATCATCTCTTGCAGATATCTTCTCTTGTAAAACCAAGGTACTACTGGCTACATAAAGTAATGACTTTAATGCTTTTGTGGCTTAAAAATAAAACTTTTGGAGTAGTGGTCTTTTTCATTAAATGCCATAAACTGGAAACAGAAACTTTAAAAATGGCTCCCAAGAACATCAGTACATAAAGGATAATTTAATCAATAATATGTAAGACCTGCCCCCTAAACATAAAAAACACTAGTCAGATGTGGTGGTGCATGCCTGTAATCCTAGCCCTTGGGAGGCTGACGTACATCGCCATGAGGTACTCAATGAGTTCAAGGCCAGCCTGAACTCATAGCAAGACCTTGTCTTAAAAAAAACCCAAAGCAAACAAACAAATCCTGTAAAATCAATACCCTAAATAAATGTCAGGTTAAACCATATTTATGGACTGGAAAACTCAGTATAGTATTATAATTCCATTCAAAATGTCAGTAGGCTCTTTTGTCAAAATTGACAGACTGATTCTAAAATTTATATGCAAATGCAAAAGGCCTCTGTAACCAAGAGAAATATAAAGAAAAACAGAGTTGGAAGAGTTACACTGACTATTTTTAAAACTTATAGTAAAACTTTAGTTACTGAGGTAACATGGTATTGATGTAAGGAAAGCCAAACCGATAAATGAAACTTAATAGAAAACTTCTAAATAGCACCAGTTATATACAGTCACCTGGTTTATATGAAAAACAACATTGTAAGTTACTAACAGAAGGATAGTTTTTAAATAAAAGGTGTTCAATAAACTGCAGCCTTCAGTTTGGTAAACTTCTTCAATAAAAGACTGAAAAATTAAGACATCATTAAAATTAAGAATTTCTGTTCATCAGAAGATACCAAGGGGCTGGGGATTTAGCTCAGCGGCAAAAGCGCCTGCCTGGCAAGTGCAAGGTCGTGAGTTCGGTTCCTGGTACCGGAGAAAAACCAAAAAACAAAACAAAACAAAACAGAAGATACCAGTGTAAAAATACAATGCAAGCAACAGACTTGGGAGAAGATATTTGGAATCATATATCTAGCAAAGAACTTATATCCAAAATATACAAAGAATTCTTTCAAATAAATAGAAAATAAGCAAAAAATCTTTTTTTTTTTTCCCGGTACCAGGAATCAAACTCAGGACCTTGCTCTTGCCAGGAGGTGCTCTGCCGCTGAGCTAAACCCCCAGCCCCCCCAAATTTTAATAAACGCATACCCTCCCCCACAAAAAAACCCGAATTGACAATGGACAAAGGGAGAAGAAAAAGGTCAATAAGCTGTAAAGGTCAGTGATTTCATTAGTGATCAGGGAAATGTAAATTGAAACTATAATGGGTTACCAGACTCCCAACAAAATGGCTCAAATATGAAAGATTGATCTTACCAATTGGAAAAATAACAAATGGAGAAAAATTAAAACTCTCATTTATGCTAACTATCAATGCAATAAAATTAGAACATTGTTTTGTAGAATCTACAGGGATAAGTACACAGATGCCATATAACCTAATAGTTCACTTCCTAGGTATAAATCCAGAATCTACAAAGCTAAGCATACAGCTACCCTATAACAAACAGTAAGCATACATCTCCAAGAGAAATGAGTGTATATTCACATTAAAAGACATGTACAACTGGCCAGGCATGGTGGTGCATGCTTTTAATCCCAGAACTAGGGAGGCTGACAGGAGGACAGCCACAAGTTCAAGGTTAGCCTGGGCTACATAATAAGTTTAAGACTAGCCTGAACTATACAGGGAACCCTGTCTCAACCCCCCACCAAAGCAAACAAAAAAGGATATGTAGAATGCCCATAACGGTTTTCTTCTCAATATTCAAAATCTGAAAACTCAAATATTTGATTCATACAACAGCACACTACCTACAGTAATAAGTACAAGAAATCACATGCGATATTTCAGACGTTTAGTTCTGTTTTTAATTCACTGAAAAGGAGGCAAAATTATGGTGCAGCCAGAATAGTAGTTATCTGAGTCTTCAGAGGGGCATGATGGCACATCTGGAGTGCTAGAAATTTCTCTGTCTTGCTCTGAGTTGTGACTGAAGGCATGGACACGTTATTTAAAACTTCAGTGTGCTGTATACTTAAGATCTGTGCACTTTATGTACATTCTACTGCAATATGTTAAAGTGTTCTATTCAGTGTTCAAAATATTACAAAGTTAACTTTACCTAAAGGTATCTCAGTAACATCTGCAATTCCTTTCATTTCTTCTTCATAAGGATCAGAAAACTGACCAAGTAGATCAGGCTGAAAACAAATATATTAACAGTCATTTAACCCCAAAGCACGCTTTTGGATATGGCACTTTTGACATACAACTTGTTCCAGATATTGGTATCACAATAGATGACAAATTACTTTGAAAGCATTTTTATAATCATGAATTTCTAAAGGTTCCATGTGATAGTGTTGGGCACCTATACAGAGAAGTATGGTTTCTCAACTGCTTTATCAGGCCTCACTTTTCTTCTATTCTCCACAGAGTGGCACCTGGAATAACTGCACCTACCTGACCTCAGCTGACTCACAATCCAAGAATGTTATGTAACAAGCACTTCTTATCTCTACTTCATTCACCCTCTAGCTGAAAGCAAAAAACCTGTACTACTCTCATTACTCATTATTCACAAAACTTTTTGTCATATAATTGATAAACTTGAGATGGCAATTTAAGTTCACAGCCACTTGCTGAGATAGTGTGCTTAAACTTCACAAGTTTTTGTTTTCGCCAACTGGGCAAGGAGACCTAATTAAACATAATTTTCTCCCTATGAATGAGAAGCATGTCATAAGTGAAATGTTCCAGGCCGTTTAACAAATAAACATGACCTAACTGTAACATTTATAAAACACTTATTATGTCCAAGCACAATACTTTACAAAGAGTTTGTAATCTAATCCTGACAACCAGCATGAGAAATATATATTAGTAATATTATTTTCCCTGATGAAAAAACTGCAGCTTCATAGTGTGTGAGTGATGTGGACTAGCACCCATGACACCGACACACTGCCCTCTCTACTGACACCCAGAGTAGAAAGGGAGTCAGGGCACAGGCAACACATGAGATCCCCTCCTCTTTGTCCCTGGTTAATTTTTATTTTGGGAAAGTCTGGTAAGTATGAATGTAAAGGACAACCTTAATCAAGAACTGAGATCATAAACATGAGATAACAGGTTTGGTGGTTGGCAGGTACAACTGTCACAGGGAGGAAGAGAACAGCACTTCTAGCCTCTGCTAGTGATTCATGGCCTAGAACGATCTGGCATTGTTGGCTGCCACAACCCAGGGAGTATTACTAGCATCCAGGGGGTAGAGGTCAGGGATGCTGGTAAACACCCTATAGTCCACAGGACCACCCCCACAACCAACAATTATTCAACCCCAGATGTCACGCCCTAAGACCTTGGGGTCTATCCGCAGACCTCTGCAGCGTGCAATAAAGACAGAGAAGGTACAGAGGATCTCTGTGGATGTTCCAGGGGCCAGACTCTAGGTGTTCAATTGGTCCCACCAAAATTGAAAAGGGGCTGATAAATGAACTCTTCCTGCATGACCTGGAAGAAAATGAGATGGTCTGGTGACTGCACAACCACAAGAAATAATTCAACAAGAGCCACAGCTACTAAGGTACTCCACAGAATACAAGGTTGGGCTGAGGATGTCACCTGGTCATCATCTAGAGAAATCTTTGGTGTTCTGAGACTCTTGGGCAAAGTACTTAAAAAGACAAGTTTTTTTATCTTATCTATTATTTATTGGAGCTGGATATCAAATCAAGGGTCTCCTGCATGCTAAACATGGCACTCTACCACTGAGCTCTATACCCAGCAAAAAGAAAGTTTTCAATAGTGAACTTAGCCCTAAGAGGAAATTCTGTACTTCGAGGTAAAACATGTAATTGTCCACTGCTCTGTAAAATAGTCTATACTTCCAAAGAACACCAAAGAGCATTAAACTGACACAATTTGCCATGCTTTGTGATGTTACTTCCGAGAATGTAAGTCTCTCTGAAGTTTTACAGTGATCAGAGTAAGTACAAATATGTCTCAAGTTCCTGACAAGAGGTTGTTAAATTATACCTTTAAATGAATCTTGAGTATTTTTGAATTCTGTGTATGTGCTTAAAATTGATCAGGGGAAATATTTCTTACCAACTTCTGATCCACCATCTGCATAACTTTTCCACTTGGCACGAATGTATTCACCATAGTCTTTATGGAATTCACTATTATCTTTAGCTGAAAAAAATTAATAAAACACATAAATGATGACAGTGCTATTAACACAATTTTATATTAAATGGCATTTGCTTAATTATGCAGATGAAAGGAGATGACCTGAAGGGAAATAAACATGTGAAGTCTATCGAAGAACATGACGTTACCTAACTTCTTTTCTTTCATTTACTGTATGTTAGAAAATTATCAAAAGCACACTTTGAAACTGGCGGTAATTTCATGAAGTGTTGCTTTAAAAACGCAGTTACACTCAGTAAAGTCAGAAAAAGAAGACTGAAGAATGGTAGCATACCTACCATTGGTCCCTTGTCAGCCATTAATTCATGCCATCTTTTGTAGGGTGGTAAATCAAGGTTTATGGTATACCATGGAACTGGTCCTCTGTAGCTGTAATGACAGGTGTGCAATATTGAAATGCTGAAAGTAGTTTCTTAAGAGGGCTAGATAGCTACATCTCTAAGGCTATTTTAGACATATATGCTTAATAACAGTATACAGGTTGTTACACAAACCAAATTTACAAAGAATGCCCAGTTTCCATGTAGTGCTTCTGCCCTGTTGGCACATACAATTCTAAGTAGTCTTAGAAATCTTGGAATAGAATTATATATTCTATAAGATTAATTGACTTGGTGATATGGGAAAGAATTGTGGCTTTTTTTGTGTTTTTGTTTTTGTTTTTTTCCGGTACCGGGAATCGAACTCACAACATCGCTCTTGCCAGGCAGGCGCTGTGCTGCTAAGCTAAATCCCCAGCCCCAAGAATTGTGGCTTAAGAGCCTAAATATCACTAATGGAAAACAACTCCCCCTTTTCCTTTCTAATTATTGGCAAAGATTTAGTCTAGGTGGACACACTTCTCTAGTTTGTTTTGGAGTCTCAGAATTATCTCTTAGGCAATCTGACACTTACTAATTCACTTAAGCCCTAAAGTGGCAAAGAACATTAACTTCCTGGAACTGGATTTAAGAACTTGCGCAATTCTCTTATCCAAACTAGTCTTTCTCTTCTCATTCCTCTGAATTAAGTCCCAGGCCAAGCACTATTCTATTATATACCGTCTCCAACTTCCTATTCTAATCTCCCGAGAGTACAGCAATGTCTACTCCATTATAAATGGAGATGGCTATTTCTAGGTGGATGAACTCTATAAATATCTCTGTCACCATAAGAACGTAATTTTCTGGCATTTTTTACCAAGCTAGAATAGCTATTAAGGGTGTGTCACTCAGTGACTTACCAGTTTAAACTATATTTAGAAACAGACATCAGGGTACAGTGCAGTCTCATGTGTGCTGCTCTTAAAATGTGCCTAGACTTATGTCTACAAATGGGGGTGGATTATTTCCTAAAAGTCATTTCTTGTGCTTCTATGTATACATCTTCTGTCATGAATATATGATTCTCTAAATACTATTGCTCAGCTTGGGCCCTGATGTGTATATAAAATTTTATGAAACTATTAGCCAGCAGCCTTTCATGATGTGAGTTAGATAGGAAAGAAAAGCACACTCAATTTGCACACACACACCTAAACAAAACCACAATGAATGAATTTTGCTTTTCTCAAAGCATTTTCAAGTCCCTCAATTCCTCAGAAACTGGTATTTCCTAAAAAAAAAAAATCACAAAATATTGTAATAACTAGCTCACAGAAATTACGTTTTCATCACAACACATTAATTCCATTTCTAACTGACCATAATTTCACATGCAAAAACTTTGTCCCACAGTTTGGTAACCTGTTATCCTTATTACAAGCAGACACTACTAACCTACCCATCTTCAGATGCATGCATTTTTGATTTGTGTCTCGTGGCATGGTAAACCAGTGGCCCTAGTGGAGCTGTGTATGTTGGTTGCCATATGGTAAGATACGTGTTCTAGATATGAACTCCAATCAAGTGCTCCTTCCCTCATCACATCAAAAAAGCCAAATCATGCTCCTAAATACATGCCATAAATTCCTAATTCTTCTTTGATCGGGAGTTCTGGCGAGGCCCCAGGATTCCAGAAAGGAAATGGAGAGGAAATGAGCTCACTACAATGGAGGATTACAATTTTGCGGGTATAGCGAGACTTCAGAAACCTTTACAACAAAACCTCCACGAATCAGAGTGTTTTGAGAACCAGCTAATCTGAATTATTTTAACAAGCTGAAGTTTAATATAATCCCACATTTTGATTCTCATTAAATTTTTTAAAAAAATCTCATTATTTAACACTTGTACCTTGATTTCCTACAGGAAGAGTATCTATCTTAGGAGGGCAGTGAAGATTACATCGAATCTAATCAATCAATAGTAATCACCATAGTATGTTTTCCTACTTACTGCAAATAATCAACATAACTTAATCATTTGTGAGACTTAGCATCTGCTGTGCCCTGGCCATCACACTACCAATCATATTGCTCAAACCACATGGCTCCCCAGGTGCCTTAGACTCTAGTCCAAGTAATACAACCAACACATGTACCAACAGAAGCGCAGAGGCTAAGCACCCAGTGAGCAGCAGGAAAAAAATCCTTGGCAGATTCAGCTGGACACAAAGGTGATAAGGCTCTGGTTCTTGGATATCTATACCGATGTGACTGGTCAGGCTAGGTGAACAGGAAGCTCCTTCCTCCCTCACCGATATCCATGTAATAAGCCACAAAAGTCTATGTACTTGGCTGGAAAGGATAAGCTACAGGAGCATAAGGATGGTCATTCAAATGCACATGGATGCCATATTTCAATCCTAGACTTCAAGACCCTTACATAGTTCAGAGAAGAAAAGGATTAGAGCAGAGCCAAGGATTTCCATATGGGGGACCAAGCCAGTCAGGTAGGAAAAAATCCAGCAGAAATCTCAAGGCAAGGAGAGAAATATACATGTATATTATGTATATGTATAAACACGCATGAGTTTAGATATGTACATGTATATGTGTGTACACACACACACACACACACACACACACACACACACACACACAGAGTAATGTGGAACCAAATAAATTCCCATTCAGGGAAGGTTTATAGTTTGGACAGCGATCAATTCACAAATACATGTAAAGTATACATAAAAGGGAGCAGAAAAAAGCCCTTAAATGTGGAAGATATTCATTAAAGTTCAGTGAATTGGGACAGTGAGACCAGCCAAGAGTGGTAATCAGTATGGCAGTCAAGACCAGCACGGTGCCAGTGGTGACAGAAAAGAACTGAGAGCAGGTCACTGATGCGCAAAATGGAAGGTGCACTCCAGAATGCACCTTCTCAAGTACAGGACACTGAAAATGGTTACCTCTAAATATGTGCGTAAGATAGCTAAGTAAATCAAAAGAATTCAGGTTCTTACAGTTCTGCTCAACCAATAGCAACTGTTTCTCAATACTAATTACCTAGAGTATTTTCCTATTTCACTACCTATAATCAGTATCACTTAAGTTCTTTGTGGGATATAGCATTACCGATGCCCAGGTCATCATATCAGTTACACTGCCTCCAGTGGCTTGGAAATTAGTCCAAGTGGCACAAAACACACGTGTACAAACAAAAGCAGAGGCCAAGCATCCAGTGGGCAGCAGAAAATAATACTCAGTGGAATTCGGATGTATACAAGGGTGATGTGACTGTCATTCCTGGATCTCCAATATTCCAGTGTCCCAAGGATACTGAGACAGAAGCTACTTAGACTACACAATTTAGAAAAGAGCAGTATGATACATAATTTGTATTGTTAAAAAATGTGCAGATGTCATCTTCACGTTACTGGTTAAAGTTGTGCTCTGCCTTCCTGCTTTCTTCAGTGGTTTTAGGGGAAGAACTTGAGAAAAAAGACCTGACCAGTCCCTAAACCTTTCCTTTCTTTCTACATTCTGTACTCTCTGAACCTGTGAGCTTTGTCTTTTCCTATTAGCCCATTTTACTGTTAGGATCCGGGAAGACCAAAATTTAGACTAAAAATGTTAGATACACTGAAACATGATATTGCCCCTCTGTTTTGTCCTCAATAGCTTTATCAAATGAAGGTTTCTTTCTTTTTTTTTTTTTCTTTTTCTTTTTGGCTTTTTGAGACAAGGTCTCGTTATGCAGTTCAGGCTGGCCTTGAGCTGACCTTGTAGCCCAGGTTGGTCTCAAACTCGCAATGAACGTCCTACCTCAGCCTCCTGAGTGCTGGGATTACAGGTGTGTCCCACCACGCCCACCTAGAAGTTTTATTTCTTAAAGATCACAAATATGAGGTTTAATGCCTTCTGCTGCAATATGAGTTAGTGGCTTACACCCAGGCATCACAGAATCACAGCTCAGTTTGGATACAGGCCTTGCATTTGTCATAGGTAAGACAAATGTAGACAGAAATGTTAGTGAAGAATGGAAATCCCTTTCTGGGGATTTTTTCCTATGACTTTGACAAGACAGAAATGGACATTTTAATCATAGATTGTTTTCATATTTGTCCAAGATTTTAAACAAGTACATAAGACATAAACCTAAGTAAACCGAGGATAGGACAATTGAAAGGTTTATTCACTATCATTATATCTATGAGAACATTACTTTTGACACACAGCTCACAGTGAGCTTTAATCATCTAATGTTTACTCACGTTGGTCCAGAAGGAGGATAAGTTGATTTTCTGCAGTCTTCTGTCCACTAAAAATAAAAAAAAGTTTCAGAAAATCTAAAATATTTGCTAAGTGAATAGGTAATCTATAAAAATAACTACCATTTACAAAGATAAAGAGTTGTCCTTTTTAGACCATTTCAATGCTTCTTAAAATCTTTTTTTTTTTTTTTGGTTTTTCTTGTACCGGGAACTGAATTCACGACCTTGCACTTGCCAGGCAGGCGCTTTTGCCGCTGAGCTAAATCCCCAGCCCCTCTTCTTAAAATCTTTAAGAAAACTTCTAAAATCCCAAACTGTTAATGTCTCAATTCAATATGCACAAGTGCCAGGTATTATATTTTGGCTTTTATATTACAAATATCCTGAGAAAACAAGAAACATAAGGATGTGTATGGAAAATGTTCCTATTAGATAATCTGATTTATCATCCAAGTAAATGACTTGAAGGCAACTCTCATGCACCTAACCAGAGATTTGCATCTCAACCAGATTTTCAGGGCACACTGCATGGGGCCCTTCACAATCTGGCCATAGCTTATTATGCTAGCTTCATCTCCTGACACTTCTCTTAAAGCAGACATCTCCAATAAATTCTCACCCTTTCGTGCCCATGGACATGCTATGCCTGGACTACTCTTTCCCTAACCTGGTGAACTTCTGATTCTAACTCTTAAGATCTGCTTCATATCCTTTCATTTTTGTAAAGTCTTCATCCTCCTCCCCTGTGAATATAGTCACCCCTCCTCTATACCCCACAGCCTCTGTGCACATCTCCATTACCATATTTATGGCACTGCATTATCACTGTTTGTGTCTCTCTTTACTAACACACTGTGCTCCAGGATGTAAGGGCAGTCCCAATACTCAGGTCACCTCTGCAGACAATGAATGAATGAGACTGTTTTAGCGAGAGATGTTCAAGCTCAGTACCAAAATGGAATTTTCTAAAATTATCAAGACTCCATATATTCTTCTTTTAATACTGGTTCAATATGACAAGTATGTTTATTCCCTTTCCTCTAGAGACTCAATATTATAAAAGTATTTTTTTTCTGTACTAGGGATTAAACCCAGGGAACACTGAGCTACATCCCCAGCCCTTTTCATTTTTAATTTTGAGACAGACTCTCACTAAGTGGTGTGGGGTGGCTTAGAATTTGTGATCCTTTTGCCTCAGTGTCTCATAGTAGCTGGGATTACACACCCAGCAAAAAAGCTTTTTAAAAGTATAAATCTAGCCAGGTGTGGTGGTATACACATATAATCCCAGTACTTACTCTGGGGATCTGAGGCTGGAGGTTCACAAATCCAAGCCCAGCTTGAGAAATTTAGTGACTTAGTGAGACCCTGTCTCAAAGATTAAAACAAAAGGGCTGGTGATATAGCTCAGTGTAAAGGTCTTCAATTTAATCCCCCGTGCTTACCCAGCCACACAAGTATAAACCTGCAGTAAGAGGGAGAGTAGAGAAGGAAAGTAATGGAATTAGAAGTTAAACTCAGAAAATGTATCTGTTGTACATTTGTGAATGACTGGAAAACACAGATATCGGTTTAATTTTTCATAGCACAAGGAGTACATAAAGTAACATGACGTTACCCATAATTCAAATGTTAACTGCTGTCAAAACAATCTTACCATAGTGTAAGTTTCTCATAGAAGTTGTCTCCTAATTTGAGTTGAATTAAGAAAGAGGATCAGATCTGTAGCCAAAACTCATTTCTGAAGTCTTCCAAGTTCACCAAGCCCAGCCAATATTTTTTATTTGTAGGGGAGAGGTCTTACAGGTTACTCATTAAATTATCCTTTAAGTACAGTTATTTTTGGAAGCCATTTTTAAAGTTTCCATTTTCAATTTACAGCATTTAATGAAAACCTTTCCCACTACCCCAAAAGAATACATCAGAAGCCAGAAAATATACGGGATACAATGGTAACAGCATAAGATTAGCTTCTAATAAGAGGAAAAGAAAGAAAGCAGTAAGGAACTCCAAAGGACAAGACTATACATGTAAGGC